ACCTGAACAAAATGGTTTGGCTGAAAGGAAACATAGAACTATAGTCCAAACAGGCTTGACCTTGATCAACCAATCCCATTTACCTCTAATCTACTGGGATGAAGCCTTTTCTACAGCTGTTTTTCTCATTAACAGAACCCCTCAAAGGCCTCTTAATTTTACATCTCCATTTGAAGCTCTCACTGGTGAAAAACCAAATTACTCCACTCTCAAAACCTTTGGCTGTTTGTGTTTTCCTCTTATGAAGCCCTATAACAATCATAAACTGCAACCAAAAAGTGTTCCCTCCACATTTCTTGGTTATACTCCAGGCTTCAAAGGGTATAAAGTCTTACTTCCAAATAATAAAAACATCATGACAAGGCACATTTTATTTGATGAGACTTCATACCCCTTTCACAAACCCCAGACACCTTTATCCAATTAGCCAACACAAACATCATCTCAATCTACCCCCCTTTTTCCTCCTGTTCCTTCATCTTTACCAAATCAGCCTCCACCACCTCCCACACCACCCCACTCATCATCATCTTCTTCACATAATCAAAGTCCTTCCTCTCATTCATCTTCTCATCATCATCACAGGCTAAGCCATTCTACACCATCATCACCTTCTCCCTCTTCTCATCATCAGCATTCCTCATCTGATTCCCCATCTCCCTCTTCTCACTTGCCAGGACATCTTTATGTTGATTTGCCTATTGACCATAGCCATGCTATACATTCCAATGCTACTAACAGTTCTCCCAGACCTAACATTGCAGGTACATCCAATGCACATCCTATGACTACCAGGTCCAAGCATGGAATTTACAAACCAAAATCCTATGTTACCCAGATGTCTTCACCTACTGAACCTGCTTCCCTTTCAGAAGCTTTGTCCATACCACAATGGAAGACTGCCATGGAATCTGAACTCAAAGCTCTTCTCAGAAACCATACTTGGGATCTTACCCCACTACCACCTGGTAAGACATTAGTTGACTGCAAATGGGTCTTTAAACTCAAAAAGAACCCCGATGGTTCCATTTCGAGACACAAAGCCCGTTTAGTTGCACGAGGCTACACTCAATCACCAGGTTTTGACTATACTGAGACATATAGTTCAGTCATCAAGCCAATCACCATAAGAATTCTTCTGTCATTGGCCATCACTCATGGCTGGGATATAAGGCAAGTGGATGTAGATAATGCCTTTTTATATGGTGACATTGACAGTGAAATCTACATGACTCCACCTCCTGGTTTTACCCTTAGCACTAATGACAACCTTGTGTGTAAACTCAGAAAGTCCTTATATGGCCTCAAACAAGCTTCTAGAGCTTGGTCCAGCAAATTTGCTTCTACACTTATCACTCTTGGTTTTTACTCTTCCAAGGCTGACCCTTCTCTGTACTACAAACATACTCCTCAGTTCAGCCTCTTCATTATGGTTTATGTTGATGATATAATCATCACAGGCAGCTCCACTGAGGCTATCTCTAATACAATTTTTCAGCTGCAGTCTCATTTTTCCTTAAAAGATTTGGGCCAATTAAGCTATTTTCTTGGAGTTCAAGTCATTTACAACTCTGGTTGTCTACACCTCAGCCAAGCTTCTTATATTGATGATATTTTGAAAAGGGCTGGCATGCAGGGGGCAAAAGGAGTAAAATCTCCTATGGTTGCAACACCAGCCCTATCAAAACACTTAGGAAATCCTGTTGAAGATGCTCACCTTTACAGAAGAATTGTTGGAGCACTGCAATACCTAACCATGACAAGGCCAGACATAAACTATGCTGTCAATAAGGTTAGTCAGTTTATGCAAAGTCCACTTGACACACACTGGAAAGCTGTAAAGAGAATTCTAAGATATGTGGCAGGAACCAAACATTTCAGCTTCAAATTATCTCCTTGTCCAAATCTTAGTATCATTGGTTTTGCTGATGCTGACTGGGCATCTGATGTAGATGACAGAAGGTCCACTTCTGGTTTCTGTACTTTCATGGGACAGAATCTTATATCTTGGAGCTCCAAGAAACAAACCACAGTGTCAAGATCCTCTACAGAGGCAGAGTACAGAAGTCTGGCTCATGAGGTTTGTGAGATCATGTGGATAAAGTCATTGATGCAAGAATTGAACATTAAAGATAACAAGCCTAGTGTAGTATGGGTGGATAACTTAGGTGCTGTTCACTTAGCTGCAAATCCTATTGGCCATTCTAGGACCAAGCATATTGAGTTAGACTTACATTTTCTGAGGGAGAAAATCATGAAGGGAGTCATATCAGTGAGGCATGTTCCAGCTATTGATCAAGTGAGTGACATTCTGACCAAACCACTAAATGGTCAATTCTTCACAAAGCTTCGAGCCAAATTCAGTGTTGATTCTCAGCCCTTGCTCGAATTGAGGGGGCATATTAAGGAACCAGGTTACTCAAACCATTTGGCTCGTTCAATGATGTCCAAGGTGGAAAGGAGATGTGACCATGCCGATGACAAGGACACCATGCAAGCTGTCTCTCTTAATGAGACAAACAACATTAAATATTAGGGTTCCATCAATTCTCTAGCTTAGAACCGTTAGATGCTTGACACCTGTAGATGCACACACTCACATATATGTTATATATGCTCACCTCCTCGATGTAGCCGCTGTGCATGAAAATATACCAATGAAATAGTAGATCTGAGTTTATGAAAGAAGAAAACTTTTCCCTATCCTTTGTCATGTCTCTTTTCCTTTTATCCATTTTCATGTCAAGCTTTTAACCTAGACTTGGCCACAGCGCCGCACGAATGTAAGTAAAATGTCCATTATACCTTTTATTATTGTGTAATCTTGGATCTCCCTGGCGTTTGGATGTAGGGGTAATAATGACATGATTGATATAATGGAACGGAATTTGATAGGAATGGAATGAGTTGAAGAATGGAATGATTATGAGAATGAAATTAAACAAGTTTTGTTATTAATGCGTTTGATATGCAGAAGGAATAAGACCGAAATGAAATGACATTATCATCTTATATTATCATTTATCACTATTTTATAGTAAAAAAAATATATTTATATTAATGTTATTTTCTTATTTATGATAATACTAATATTATTTTATATTTTTAAAATATACTATATTTTAAAAATCATACTATTGTATTGTTACACCCATCTTATATAATAAATAAGTGAATTATATATGTTTATACATATTAACTAATACAACTATATCATTACATAAACCCCTATAAAAATATATGGTCAAATATACTTTTTTATAATATAATTAAATTTAGGAATAAATATATAATATATATGATTATATAAATAAGTAAGACTTTTCTAAATTATTTATAAATGTATTTTTTGTAAATTTTATTTTTACATAAGTATTCAATATATCTAATTAAAATATGACTAATAAATAAAAATAATATTTTAATTTTTTAATTGAATTTTATTTTTTAAAATGAATTTATTTAATATAATTTAACCATGATAATATAGTATATATTATACATTAATTTGTTATTATTATATGTTAATTTTATTTTTTTGAAAAATTGATTCTTAAATATATGGGAATGAGAAAATCATCTATTAACTGTGGAATTGCTAATCCCATATACATGAGTTTTGCGATTCCTATTTGAATGATCATTACCTTCTAAAAAATATACCAATTATGAGAATAGGAATGAGTAACGGAATGGTCATTCAATTCTCACGTCATTCCCGCATATCAATCAGGTCATAAATCTTATGATTATTATACATTCTTATTTTTATTTTTTTTATTATAAACTCTTCTTACAATACTCTCGCTCTACCGATGATCATTGTACAACTCTGTTTCTTAGGTATTTAGAACCCTACCCCTGACAGTCCCCCTGTAACTGCTATAAAATAAATAATGTAAAAGATTAATAATCTATATATATATAATTGCTAGCTAAGAAATAAATTTTACCTAATAAATAAAACCTAATAAATTTTACCTATGTGGCAAATCATTAATAAAACCTAATAAATAGAACCTAATAAATTTTATTTATGTGGCATTAATACACCCAATCTCATTAATAAGAAAATATTTCATTACATTTTTTTGGGTTAATTAAGACAAAAACCATTATATTTTATGTTAATTGATTAATAATTATATTTTTTATCGAATAATATAGTAGTTAATATTAAACTTAGTAATTATATTTTATACTAAATAATATATGAAAGTTACATAAAATTATATTTTACACTAAAATCAATATTTTTTTATACGATGAAGCGGTTGTTTATTAATAAATTAATTTTTTTTATGTCATAGTAAAATTTCTTAAAATCACATAAGTAATTGTTATAATAAATGTAATATTTTTCAACTAATTAATTGGTCATGATCACTCAAAATTATAAAAAGTATATATTTATTACATTTTATGCAATCAATACAGTGATTCGTATACAATCAAATCGTGTGTACTATTTATTTTAACCAATGATCAAATTTTAAGATATAATACTATTATATAATTTATAATTTTAATATTATGTACATAAATATAACTTATAATACTATATGCTTGAAATATAATACAATTATATAACTTATAGTATTTAATTTTATTTACATCTGTACAAATGCACAAGGTCGAATACTAGTATAGATGAAGCACCGATGTAGCAATCGGCAACCAATAATTATATATATATATTTTTTTTCTTTTATCAAGAGATATAAAGGAGATCAATAAAGTTTTTGGTGGAAAATAGTTGTTTTCCGTGGAGAATTCAAACAACTTTTATCAATTTTACCAAATGTCACGGTTCCCAAATTATGTCTACAAGTTTGGTAAAATCAACGTTATAACCCATAATGATTTTAATTTTTATTTATTTATTTTTTTATTATTATTATTTATTTATTTTTGTTTTTTTTGTTTTTTTTTGTTTTTTTTTTTTTTTTTTTTTNGTAACCAACTACCACAAAAAACAATATTGCAGTTCCATATGAGATGATGATTGATTATGATAATAAATATTACTCATCATAAGTTCTTCTTTAAAAGAAATTGTCCAATATATCTTTTGAGGAATTGGACTCATCTAAATGGATTGTGAGTTGGAATAAGGATATGTAAATTCTCAAGACAATGTGATTGATGTGGAGATAGAGGATTGAGCTTGAAAGCATCAACTAAATTTCAATTTCTACTCCAATGGATCATAATTGTACAACGCAGGGGAGAGTTGAGTGTGATGGCCAAAAAATTTCTAAAGATGTTTACTCATTCATTTGAAATTTTCAGAATAGTTCAGTTGAGCAAATACAACTGCTAGGATAAACGACACTCATCGAGTGTTTATCACTCGATTTAATCAGTAGTTTATCACTGATTTAGCATAAAAATCGAGTCGCTGCACCAAAAAAATCCCATGCGTGTTGTATTTTCTCAAAACTTACAACATGCATTCAGACTTGAAGTTACAAAATGTTACAGCTCACTCACTCTTGAAGAAGATATGAAAAGATTTTAAAGGAGCTCATAAGTTCAACTAAACACCCTCCGAGAAAAAGGAAAAAAACAAAAAGAAGTTTATTTCCCCGAGCAACCAAGAAAGAACAGCAGCCTCTACTGTCAAACTACTGAGAAAATGAAAGTGCAACGGAGAAAGTGGCCAATCATGTGCAAGAAACACAGATTCATTTTGTTCACTTTAACTAATCAAATATTCACTCATGTCGTGTATATATGATCGTATAGTACAAAATGTAATCAAAGATTTCGAAATTTGTTTAGGCTAATGATTAAGAGACGGTCACTCCATTCTTCACCAAGCGCTGCCTGGCTCTCTCCATCTTCCGTTTGCGCCATTCCTCAAGGGCTACAAAAACAACCCAATGGCTTAAAATATTAACATCTACAGACAGAATATTATTGTTTCTATAAGTCAGCAGGCCTTCTGTTAAAAATTCTAAAATCCTCACTCAAAATTATGCTGTTTACCTCACCACACTGTCACCAAAATATTACATGCCATGTCATCTACTGTAGACTACTTCTGGGTTCATATGAGGTCACAAATTCCGAATTCTCTGCCGATGATAATTCAGGCAGTGGCTCATTTTTTCTAAGATTAGCTATGGAGAGACAATAAAGTATTTATGGTATCATGCGATACGATTTAAAAGGCGAGTATATTAATACTTTTTGTCTGCCATTTTCTTTTTATTTGTTTGCCTGGATAAGCAAACCGGATGGTAGGGCTAAGAGAACCATCAAAGGCAGTATATAGTATCTAAACTACACAGCTCCAGAAGAAAAAAGCAATGGAACACAAACAAGAACTTTTTTCATCTTACCAGGCTGAGAATACTAAAAGGAAATCGTAAGAGGTGAAGAGACAGAAAAAATAATTAACAAAAATAAGAAACTCACCTTTTGTGCTTCCGGCATCTGAATTCGAACGAAAATTATTCAATCTAGATATTAAGCCCACTGCAGCTGTCTGCTTTATTTCTTTCTGTTGAACTTGTTCTGTCTCAACATGCATCTCCTGTCCAATTTCTCTAACCTAGCAAGGAGATGAAAATTATTTTCCAAATCAACTATCTCCTAAAACCACAAGCTTCAAACTATTTGTCAAAATTCTTCTGCATTATAATAACATATCATGTATGACCAAATCCCTTATCATTAACAGGATGTTAGATTCTTAGAAATGGAAATCAACTGAAAGTAAGAATGTCCAAACAAACTCCTCCTTATTTCAGAAAAGGAAAAATGAAAGCTGGAAATAATTCAAATGTATGAATAATCCCTCTTGAGCTGTAATTGAGTCAAGTATAAACACAACAAAGTTGATGTTTACAAACAAAAGAAAAAAAATTGCGATCTTTCATCTTTTCCCCCCAGCAAAAGGTCAATCACTTTTTCTATTTATATTTAAAGCTTGCAGACGCTCCCTCCATAAAATCGTGAACATAAAATTGAATATGCCGACATGAGTGATCAAACACTAATTAACAAGTTCTAGTAAATTTAAGCCACTGAATTATTCTATAAGAGAACAAACTCACTCTTTTGATCAAATCCAAAGGAACCATGGCCCGTCTTATGTCTTCACATTCCTTTATATGTCTGAATAAAGCTGTATCTCAAAAACATTGCCAAAGTTCATAAGAAAACAAACTTATCATACAGTTACATTAAGTGGAGGCAGCTGATACTGAGAAAGATATCACTGAGAAGATGTCGTAGAAAAGAAAAAGTATGTTCCACCAAATTAACAATCCAACGAAGGTGAAATTCATATAGAGTATGCACAACAAATTCCAAACAGATTAAATATCAAAAAAGAAAAGATTCTAACATAAACTAGATCGTGAAAATATCTAAATTACCATCACAACTTCTATGTTGAAGTGTGCACCATTATTGCAGTTATACTAGAAGCATTAACCATCCTTCAGCTTTTCTAAATGATATATGGACCACAAACTCAAAAGCACTTGGAAAGTTCTATTACAAGCAATCTTTCCTCTGTACTCGAACCGATTGTTCAAGAAGCTGCGCAATTATTCATAAAGCAAAAAAATGCATAACCTTGAAGACAACAAAGTGTTCAACACTGTAAAGATTTGCTCATCTTTTATTTTCCCCATCATATTTATATAGAAGAAAACTAGAATCTGAGAACATTAGAAAAGTTAACATCTCCTCAGTAAATTGTCCTAGCCATCCACAATTTCGTGCAACCTCATACATCACTAGGAAAAAGCAAAATGATTTCTGGGCTAGAAATAAAAACCCATCTCAACAAAATGTCAACGGTTTATAAATTATGGCAAATACATTCTGAATAACTTCAAGATTTGATAATACAGAAACCCCATTTCTCACATAGACCCAAATAAAAGAAATACAGACATATCTGAACAAGAATAGAAACAATAAGTCGAACTACATTTGACAAAAGAAAAACAAAAGGAAAAAGTAGCGAACAAACCTCTCTGAGAGGAAGCTAATTTGGAGGACGGAGAATAGAAGAAGGAATGAAGCAAGAAAAGGGTAGTGATTACGTTAAAAGAGCAGAACACAAAAGTTGCGTTCTTGTACGATAAGCGTGACTTCACTGCCCTCCACAAGTGTTGCTGCTGCACTTTCTCCATTTCCACAGCAATTCTTTCAACAGAAATGAACAATTGAACGGTGGTGGCTATTTTAGTGTGTATCTTAAAGTAGTGTTTATATATATATATATTTTTTTTTTTATTTTTTTTTATTTTTTTTTTAACTCAAAGCGAACCAAGTTCGAATGTTACAAGCCAAATCCTAAAATAAAAACTGAAAGGACATGAACAAGGAAACTAAAAAAGACAAGATAAGAAACATCATCCACTACCTAAAGGCCTAGAGGTGAGAAAAAATTCCTGCTAACAACAACCAGACAAACAACATAAAACAAAAGGAACAAAACACCACATCAACCAAGAAGAAAGACAGACACATTAAGTCTTCAATTGGATGAAATCCAACCAATCCTGGTGGGCAGCCTTCAAGGTGACCTGAATGGGCATGATGATATTTTGAAAAATGCAATGGTTGCGCGTCTTCCAGAGCCACCATAGAATGTAGGTAGTGAGTTGAATTTTGGCCTGTGATGTCTCTGAATTGTCAGTGGAGCATATATTCATCCACCAGCTTCTGAAAGATGAATCATGGTTTGGTAGCTGAGTCCAAGAGACAGGGGCAATACTCCACAGATGAGCAGCTCTAGAGCAGTGAAATAAAACATGAAGTGACTGTCTCTGGTTCCTCTGCACAAGCACTACAGACAACATCTAAGTTTAATTCTCTTTTCCTCAAATTTTTTTTGGTAGGAAGAGCCTCAGCTATGCATTTCCAGATGAAAATTTTAACTTTGTTGACAATGTGCAGTTTCCAAAGCCTCTGTCTGATCTTTGAACTAGACTGACCAGTTATATTGCTGCTGCTGGGAATATCAAGAGAGAGAAGTTTTTTCTGGGATAAGAAAGCATATGTACTGGAGACTGTGTACTAACCTTTCTTGTTGAACTTCCAGTACAATATGTCCTGTTTTCTTGGCTTAAGAGTTTTAATATCAAGGATTGCCCTGCTGTCTTGAGAATTAAACACTTGGTTGATAAGCCAAGAGTTCCATTCAACCCCTGAATCAGAGATAAGCTCCTTAACCCAAATTAAATGCCCTCTGGCTATTTCAATCATAGTAGGTTTAGGATGCAGAAGTTTAGGAATCCAGTTAACATCATCTATCCTTGTAGCTTCTCCATTTCTGATTTCAACAGCATATCCTTTGGCAAAGGTAGGTAAGATTTCCAACCAATTGGACCAAAACCATGAGCAGCTTTGAGTTTTAACAGCATCAAAGAGAGAACAATTTGGAAAATACCTGTCCTTTAAAATTCTGCTCATAAGAAGATTTGGCTGAGAGGTGATCCTCCATAACTGCTTGCAGATAAGGGCTGAATTAAAGAGTTGCAGATCCAAAAAGCATAAGCCACTATTGTCCTTAGGAAGAGTCAGCAGTTTCTATAATTTCCAGTGAATAGCCTGGCCATGTTCTTCACCTGTACTCCACCAAAATTGTGAGCAGAGTTTAGCAATTTTAGCACAAATAGTTTTAGGAATCATGAAGCAGGACATAGTGAACATGGGGAGAGCTTGAAGCACAGCCTTAATAAGAACTGCTTTTCGAGCCTGGCTTAAGAGCTTAGATCTCCAATTGTCAATCTTTTTCTGAACATAATCAAGGATGTACTGGAAGGTGTCTACCTTAGACCTGCCAATCCCCAAAGGCAAGCCCAAGTATCTTGTAGATCTGTGCATGGTAATGCCTGCCAAAGAAGCACAAATTCTGTTCTGCAAAATCTCAGGGGTTCTCCTACTAAAAAAGATTGAGGATATACTCATGTTGACAGCTTGACCAGTAAAGATTTTGTATCTCTCTAATAAGGATAGAATAGAATTTGCTTGATCAACTGTGGCTTTGCAGAAAAACAAGAGATCGTCTGCAAAAAGTAGATGCGAAATAGCAGGGCCATTTGTAGAAAGCTTTAAACCAGTGAGATGACCTTATTGAGTAGCATGGTTGACCAAGGCAGATAACATTTCAGCTACAATAAGGAACAGATAAGGGGAAAGAGGATCCTCTTGTCTTATTCCTCTGGATGGGATTACTTAACCATTAACTGAGCCATTTATCTTGAAATAGAATGAAGATATGGAGATGCAGATCATGATCAAGTCAACAAAATCTTTATGAAATCCCATTTGTAACATGATTTTTTTGGCACACAACCAATCCACTATGTCAAATGCCTTCATAAGATTAAGTTTTAGGGTCATAAAACAATGCTTGCTAGAGGTATGCCTATTCAGATAGTGAAAAGCTTCTTTCCCAATAATAACATTGTCCATAAGTTTCCTCCCTTTAATAAAAGCAGACTGAGAGTCACTGAAACACACATCCCAACATTTCTGAAGTCTAAGAGCAAGAATTTTAGAGAGGATCCTATAGACAACTGTACACAAACTGATGGGTCTGAATTGATTCACATACTCAGGATTGAGGCATTTTGGGATGAGAGTGACTATTGTGTTGTTCCAGAATTTCAAAATAAGGCCTTTATCATTTAAGAAGCTGGAAATAGCTGACACAACATCATATTTGATTATATTGCAAAAAGATTGATAAAATAGAGCAGTCATACCATCCTCTCCTGGAGACTTGTCAGGTTGAAGGTTGAAAAGTGCTGCTCTTATTTCATCTTCTGGAACTTGTTGAAGCAAAAGTTGGTTCATATCAGCTGAGATTGAGGAAGTGATAAGAGGAAGAATTGAATCCCCACTCCAAGACCCTTCAGAGGTGAAAAGTTCAGAGTAAAACTGTGTGATATGGTTCTGAATAGTTAACTGAGTGTCACAGATGGTGTTCTGATTTGTAAGTAACCAAGAAATTGCATTCTGTGTCCTAGACATGGTGTAAGCATGAAAGAATTTCGAATTGTTGTTCCCTTCTTGCAGCCATCTAATTTTTGCCTTTTGCTGCCAAAATAGTTCTTCTGCTTTGTGAGCTGCTTGGAGATCTTTTCTGGTGGTAAGCCACTCATCCCAATTAGTCGAGATCCCTTCTTGCTGTAGTGAGTTCAATTTTTTGGAGAGGTTATCTATATCTGATTGGTTCTGAGATTTAAAATTGGCACTCCAAATGATGAGAGCCTGTCTGGTCGCCTTGACCTTTTCCTTTAAGACGAAGAATGGAGTTCCAGTGTGCTCCAAGCTCTTTGAACCACTTCAGAAATTCCCTACCTAGAGAGCCATCTTCTGTCAAAGTGAAATCTGCTTTTCTTTCTATCTTTCCTATCCCCTGACTGAAAATCAACAAGGAGTGATCTGAAGCTGATTTAGCAATGTTGGTAATAGTAGCTTTAGGATGGAGTTCCAACCAGTCAGGCGATGCAAAACCCCTGTCTAACTTGGCTTCAATCAGACCCTCAGCAAATCTGTTATTGCACCATGTGAAATTGTACCCAATCATTTTAATTTCCTCCATCTTCATACAGTTGATGAATGGATTGAAACCATTCAGACAAGAAGTAGACCTGGGAATGCCACCACTCTTCTCTTCACCATTGCAAATATCATTCCAGTCACCTATTATGTGCCAGAGGTGACCCTAAAATTGTTGATCCACCTTCAGTTCTTCCCATTGAGACTGCCTAATAAGAGGGTTGGTGCTTATGTACACAAAAATCCCCCAAGTTGGGGTAGAATCTACTATTTTGTATTCAACAGCAATGTAGAATATCTTCTTCATAATCTGAATGATTTGAACTTCAGAAGACCAACATAAGAGCAAGCCTCCACTCAAACCAACATGATCCACAATAGAACATTTGTTATCAAAACCCAACTTCCTAGTTACTGACTTGACAAAAGAAGCTGACTTTTTATTTTCTGACAAAAAAATGAAAGCTGGGTGGTGAGTCCTACATGATGCTCTGATTTGGGAAATTGTAGAGGGCCTACCTAGCCCTCTACAATTCCACACCACAGCTAGCATTGGTCACTTGGGTGCCATTCTAGGTTGGCCACCCCCACCTGCTCTGGTTCTGTTTTCTACTTTTTACTTTCAATACATTCTGCTTTCTTAGGATCATTCTCTTCATTACTGATTTCAGCTGTGTCTCTGGTTCTCTTGACTGTATTACTAGCCTCATGGTTGTTGTGAATGAGAGGTTGCCTCAGCAGCCTACCCATTCTGGATTCAATTCTTTTCCATAACTTTGGTTTGTACTGATGCTTCTCTGAAACAGTAATTTGTAGAGACCTCTCCTTGATAGCTTCAATCAAATAATTTTCAATTTCCATGTCCTTGCTGGAGTTGGTGACTGGTTGTTGAGGTAATGAGTCTTCCAGAGGAACTTTGGATGTAGTATTAACATCCTGCTGTTGCTCAATAGGAGCATGAGTTAAGGCTTGAATTGGTTGAGAAGTTGAAACTTCAGAATCTGGTCTATTGTGTTGGGATGGAAAGCCTTCTATGGAGAGGAGTTTATTGCTATCATTTCCTAGAGATGGCATTTGGGAGTTTGGGTGAGGGGGAAATGAAGTATTGTTTGTGTGAGGTGGGCTCTGAGAACTAGAAGAGTGATGTCCTGCCTAGTGATGATTTTCAGTGGCCCTCATCCATGCACCATATTGACCTTCATGTAAAGAGTGAGATTTAATATCCTCCAACCTTCTAGGACATGTTCTATCCAAATGGCCTATTAAACCACAGTAGTGACAATGGTTTACCAATTTCTCATACTTGAACCCAACATTAACTGTTTGATCATCAAGTCTAAGGTTAGCACAATGGGGTAGAGGTTCCTATAAATCAACTGTTACCAGCAGCCTCATTATTCTACCTCTGTGGCTTCCTGCACCCACTATGACTACATTCTGAACCTGTTTAAACACCTTACCTATTTTCAATCCAACCTCAATGCTGAGCCAATCCAAAGGTACATTGAATACCTGAACCCATAAATTGAGCTCTTGAAATGGGGGATGAGTGATTGAAAGGCCTCTTTTCCATTCAGACAAGATGAGGTATTGATTATCATATGTCAAGTTGATACCTTTGGCCACTTTTTCTTTGTCGTATTTGCTATGAAAGATAAACTGGTAGTAGTTTGGTC